TATCTAACTTATAACTTCGACAAGTTATGACTTGCGAAACTTATAACTCGACTTATAAGTCAGGCGGCCTTCTTGTACGAGTGCGGCTCACCCGACCATCGAGCCCGCGACTGCCCGGAGGCAAAGGGTCGCAGCAAGGGCAAGGGCAAAGGCAAGGGTAAGAGCCAGTATCAAGGCAGCTGGCAGAGTGGCTGGAAGCAAGGATGGGGAGGTTCCTGGAGCACAAGTTCATGGGATTGGAACCGCTCAGGGCGATCCTCGTGGCAGGGCGAAGCCGCCTCGTCATCTTCCTCGGACTGGTGGTCCTCATCCAAGGGAGGCTGGTGGAACCGCTGAGAAGCCAGATAGAGAGGGGATAAAAGAAGCAGAAACTGCCGTCTCGCCATGCGGCCCGGAAGGTCACGCCGGAAATCAAATTCGTTGGCGTGATACTTTCAATGTCCTCATGAAGCGAGCGGGAACGCTCTGCCGCAAACCCTTCACTCAGCTAAACTTGCAAATAATTCGATGGTCGTTGCGATCTGTGTACGTTTTTCTCGAGCATGGAACGGTAAGAGTTCCCAGTGAGACAAGCGTTCCGGAAGGCATCGCCATTGTTCTTTTGTGAACCTCATTGCTTATTGCAATTTCTGAGGTATTTTGCCAGAACTGCACAAGCGAAGACTTGTCGCCAGCTCCGCATCAGAGAAAAAGATTCGATTGCTCCCATATTTGCTCTCATCTTGATCTGATAATCTAAGAGCTTTTGCATTCGTGCCGACATGCCGCATCCAAATGCAGTAGTTCGAGGGTTGTAGCGCGGTTTGATCTCATCGCCGCCTGAGGTTGGAACATTGCTTACGACTTCCTCTTCGGCGCGCCGTGGCCAAGCCACTCCGCTCCGCGGGGGGGGTGTTTTCTAAGTAAGCATTGTTCTTCACTGTATATATACCTCCTTACCCTCGCTTTGGCTCAAGGGAAAAAGTTGAGCGATATTGGCTGATTTCCTGTAAACATAGAACCAAAGCTGTAATTGGACGATTGGATGTTTGCAATGCACAGGCAGCGGAAAGACCTTGGCATTCCTTTTGCCTGCCCTGCAGAGGGTCTTGGCCTTCAAGTTTGCAACCTGGTTTGGTGTTGCTTTTGGTTCAATTGGCAAGAAGAAACAAAAGCACCTGTGTTGACCAAGTTCCCCGGCTAGCAAGGCAAAGACGCCTTCATTTGGCCCTTACGCCCTGATTTTGACTCCAACAAGGTCAGCCTGTTTTTTGTTGCCCTCCTTTTCACAAGGCTTCCATGGGCATTCGGAACGTGTAGTTGGCTTTGTGCAGGGAGCTTGCGCTACAGATTGCACGAGATGCAGCTGGTCTTTGCAAGGCTCACGAGATCTGCGATTGTTGGGCATCCTCCAAGAAATCTGGTTATAAGCAGCAGCAGAAGCATAAAAACGCTTCTGAACCAAACTGGAACTGATGAATCATCGTTTGTCCACAAGTACGAGTATGTTGGTTCACTGGCACTGCCTCAGAGAAACCATTTGCTGAGCGTCGTGTTGTAGGGTTGTTTGGAGCATTTGCGAGGTAAACTAGCAACAACCAAGCGTGTTGAAGTTATAGCATGGGAAACCGTCAGCTTCGTCAGGCCACAGGCATCAAAATGGCATGCTTGTATGGTGGAACCTCGAAAGGTGATCAGAGCCTTGGGGTCTTGACAACCTGTCGAGGTGTTTTTCAGTGTGTTTTGTTCCTTTTGTTTGTTGTACCCTTTTATATATATATATGTATAATAAAATACTATAGCTGTCATGAGAACTTAGAAAGGGTTTGCACGGTAGTAGTGCACTGTGGCCGTTGCAGTGTACTTGAGTATGTTTTATTTTTTAAAATGTATATGTATATGTTTGTATGTATCGTTAATTCCTTTGTTTGTTGTACTGCCGGATGCTTTGCTTTCTCCAGGCGCTCAAGCACAAGTAGTATAGGCGATGGTCATCATGATTCGCATGACGGTCATTTTGAGATCACTTAGATTCCAAGAGCAGTCTCTTTAGAAAAGGCTCCTGACGCAAAACATGTGCAGAATCCCTCTTGATGCTCAGGATCAAGTCACTACACTTTGGTGTTGACCAACTTATTTGTACTCCTGGCCGTTTGGACGATCTGGTGAGCAAGCCCGACAAATTCACTGGCCAGGCTGACAACATATAAATATATATAAACAATATAGTAGATTCTCTGGAAAGACTTTGAACAAGCATGACACTGAATATCAGGTGCCACGAGTACAAGAATGAAATGTACGATGCGCTAAATGCACATGTTTTCTGGACAATTCTTTGACCTTCGACGAGTACTCTTGCAAGTTTAGCACTTTCTGGACGGTTGGCAACGAAGAGGGGACGATAGAGTGCCAGTGCAAGAAACAAACATTGCAGAAGTTGAAATGATTTGAAGGAATTGCCAACAAAACAAGCAGAGACTTGAAAAGGTTTAAAGGGGGAGTGGAGGTGCATAGATTCTAGATGCTTGTAAATCAGCGTGTGTTTCTCTTTGAGTAGGGAAAACATGCCCTGACACCACTGTTCACATTCCCAAACAATGCCAATCAAACATAGTTTACACAGACATTGACCCGTCATGGATTTTCTGGAATGACGTCCCGCGAGGTTTTATCATAGGAGGTTTCTTGTTTGATTGTGCATCAGTCTCACAGCCATTTTATAGCTATTTGTAGCATGTACACGTCATTCAAACCTGTTCCAAAGAATCAAAGTTCTGGTGCGATTTGCAGTCCATCCTTTCGCTGTCCATGGTGCACTATGTGGTCCTGGACGAGGCTGATTGCATGTTGGACTTGGGCTTTGAGCCACAGGCACGGCAACCAAGCTTTTTGCCCAGCTTGAACTTGCTGGATGTTTTTGGCTTGTGAAAGTCCCAGAAAAGAGAGGTGAGATGTTATCACAAGTGGACAGCGGTGTTTTTGGAGTTTCTACGGTGGGATAGATCGTGACAAATCATATGTATGTATATATCACAACTATATATATAATATTATATATATACCGAGAACGGTATATAGTATATATAGTATATATATGTAATTATATATTATATAGCTGCAGTGCTTCGACCCTAACGTGCTGAGGTCAGGAGGCTGTTGCAGCATGTCGCAGAGCAAAGGCAGATTTTGTGTTTCAGTGCTACCTGGCCCAAGAAGGTGGGGTGCTGCATGGCGCTGCAGGATGGCAGGAGGTACTGACAGGTACTGGAGTGGGAATCGCATCTCAACCAACCTGACCTGAGTTTGGGGAAACCTGAGGGCTGAAGGGCTTGGACGGTGGCAAAAGACCAGAAGACCGTTATCGGTGCAGCACTCGTTGATGTTCGATGTGGGCACAAGCCAGGTACAGGCGCTCACAAAGGAATTACTCCCAGACGCCATTCACATCAAGGCCCTTTGGATTGTATTGATAATTTGAGTTATACTTCGCAGACAGTGAGATGTGTGGACTGTGTGAACCATACTGAAAGGGCTGATTTGGTCCTTCCCTTGGATGTTTTTGCAAAGAAAAGAAACGATTACTTTTAGATGAGCTTAGCGGCCCCTCTTTTGGCCTGCAACATTGAGAGTTTGTAGATGTATATTGCGTCCGCTTGTATGTGAGAACAACATATAATTTGATGTAGGAAGTGTATAGTGCTCAGCTCTCACCAATATGAAGCTCAATCGCTTGACCTCAGATGTGTATGCAAGCTCCAAGAGTGGTTTGAGGTCGGAGCATCTGACGGAATCTCTGGAAATCGAGATGTTGAGCAGCATGTGAGGCCCGACATGGTTTTGGCTGCGTTGGGTTTCCTTTGGATTTGAGGGACATATGTGCAAGCAGCACGAACTGCTGAGTCAAAGGACTTCGAAGGAAGGACGCTCCCGAAGGACGTCCTGAGATGAATCGTTGTTTCATGCTCCACCTTCCTCCTGTATTTTATTATTCGTTCTTATTTACTGTAATTTCATGTAATTTCTATTTGCAAGTTTGTTTGGTATGGTCTTTTTGGGGGTTCCAACAGTTCCATTGTTGTTCGCACTTCGAGAATGTGACGCAGGCTTTTGACGGGTGATCGCTTCCAAGAGCTGAAGACGATCTTGCAGAGCCACCCGAACCAGGCACACAATAACATCTTCAAAAGCGCACATTAACCCAATCTGACATGGTGTTTCCACATCCCATCATTCTCGTTGTGCCCTGGGCTCTTGACTCTTGACAGACAGCAAAACATGAAACACGTGTTGACCCTGCTGGAGCTTCAGGCGTGCATCATTTTTTGTGCCTTGAAGCTTCTGGGCAGCACTATCCTCACTAAAGCCAAAAACATGCATTTTGTCGGCTGTGTTCACATGGGTTCAAGAACCGACTTCAGTGGGTGATTTGGATTGGTATCGAAACGCACACTTCTTGCCTCGTGCTTGGGCTCTATTGACTTAAATCAACTTATATTGCGCAGGTTGAATTCCTTACTTGTAGTTGGAACAGTAGAGTAGGGTACGATTTGGAGCTACTGAAGGAGGTGAACTAGTCATATTTGCAGCTGGTATATAGATGTTCATTGACCCAGATCAAGACCGTAGCTTCATGCCTTCAGGAAGACCGCAGCATCCCTCAACCGCTGGCTGCGTGAGGCCAGCTGAGGAAAATTGAAATTGAATTTAAAGTGAACTTAGACTTAAACTACTTAATATGATTTTAAGTATATAGTTGCATCAAGCGAAGGTAAGATCCAAGAACTGCTCCGAACCCCCTCCTACAGGAGTCCAAGAGGCATACGAAGCGCATGCGGGACAGCAATACAGAACGGCATCGAATCAATGCCTCCTGACAAATCTTCAACCTTTCTTTGTTGCATTGAAATCAATTGGCAACCTCGCCAGGAGTCATTCGCCAGTGGTGCCATTCATGGGAATTTGATGCAGCAAGAGCGAATAGAGGTTATGGAGCAATTCCGAAAGGAAGAGCTGTGTTTTAGCAGCATTATTAAAGAACCCGTGGGGCACACTATACAATTAATGGATCAGTAAATCGAGCAGATCCTTAGGGACTTCCTTGGCTCGTAGGTTTGTCAGGTAACTGTAGCACAACCTTGCAAGAAAGCCTTACTGCAAGTGCCTCAGCACCATTGCTTCGTTTCCCACATGCTCTTACTTGCTACAGTCCGATAGACTCGAGGCTTCTTTTGTTGCCTTTGACTCTTGTCTCATCTTGCCTCTAGTTTCTCCACGTGTCTCTCAAGGAAGATTCTGGTCGCTACTGATGTGGCAGCTCGCGGCCTTGATCTCAAACGTGCCCTTTATCGGTCGCAGAGACAGGTCCCAAAACAGCAGTCGAACCTTTGTAACAACCGAAACACATGACTTAGATTTAGATTATTCATCTCCGGTGGGCCCAGAATTTCGGGAGCCGAATCAATTTCATTGTGTGTGGTGTTGCCTTCTTGCAGAGAGCTGTGCCAGACTGTGCATTCGTTTCGGGCTTTTCATGCTTGATGCACACTCAGCTTCCGTGCAGGTTTACAAGGTGAACTCATAGATAATTGAAGACCCTTAGAACGGAACAGTTGCTGCTTTTTTGCAGACATGCAAAGCTATTGATCGCCACAAATCAGGTATTTTGGTCGTGGTGAACTATGAATCGCCTGTTGTATGCTTAGTTCACTGAATTTGATGCAGCGTTTCGCTGCTGTACCCGCAATTCACCAGCTCTCGAAATGCAACGAAGTCCGACCACTTTGAAGCCAAACTGTGCCGTGCTCACAAACTGTACGATTCCACTAGTTCACGTGGACCAGAGCCATTTTAGCTATCACAAATAGTGACATTCTGATTGTTGTGCGGCTTGTACAGGATTCTACAATGCTTTGAATAAGTCGAAGAAAGGGCAAGAACAAATAGCCCTCGGTGAGACCAAACACCTTTTCTTCTTCCTTTTAGAGACATCTTTTGCTGAAAAGAGCGTGTTTGTCCTAGAGGTCTCGTTGGATGCCCATGTGCATCGAGTTGGCCGCACCGGGCGTGCTGGGCAGCGTGGTCATGCTTATTCTTTGCTTGAGCCGGAGGATCGCACCATGCTGAGATTCGAAGAGTGATTGAGAAGGGTTCTCCCTTGGTGCCCAGCGCTCACACTTCTTGTTGTTGAGATACTCTGTGTATTGTGTATACATATGCACGAATGTACCCACAATATCAGCCAAGCAGGCTTTGGTGTTTTTTCTATAGGGTCAACTCAGATGTATTGGGAGTTGAGTATATACAGCTTATCTCATATGTGGTGATATACTATGATATTTATATATTACATAAATATATTATATATATATATGTGACAATGTGTGTTTGCTTTGGCATGACCTGATTCCGAAGCATAGTCGTTATGTCTATTTTTAGAATACCGATGTGTGTTGAGATTCAGATGTGAACAACCGCCCGCCAGAGGTCCACTGTAGGAAGTTTGAAAGTCGCGTGACGGACAGGATGTTCAGTATGCGCGAATGCTGTCAGAGTCTTTCCGCAGCGCTGGGCAGGACTGCCTCAATTGGGCAGCGAGGTGTTAGGATGAACCTATCTCATTGTTAGCTTGTTGGACGATGAGCATCAGTTTTGAATGTATTTTATCCTGTGTATTGCTTTGCATAGTGCACGTCTGAGAGTTTGCACTAGCTACAGCTTGGGATGAAGGTCGGAAACTCACGATAGGGTTTCAGCTTTGTAAAGTCTCCGTGAGCCCGACCCGCGAAGGCTGTCCCTGGCTTTGTCGCAAACTTGGCCGCACGGCCTTTGCTGCTCAGTTGAGACCGTCCGAATGTGTCGAACATAGTGCGTCAACGTGTTGAGCTGATCTTAGAGCCCCGACAGAGTGTTTCTTTATGCATCGCTGCATTTGCAGGCATTGGAGTTGGTCACCCGCATATAAAGTAAATCTAAAGTGTTTGTTGCATACTCATTGCATGTCTTTGCGTGTAACAGCGGTAGTTAGCACAACGAACACGGGTTTACCTTAGCATCCAAAACCATTGATCGGGTCCCACAGCTTCAATTACTGCGGGGTTTCACAAGGTCGCCAACACTCGAGAAGATCAAGTGCAGTGGCAAACGCCTCCGTGTTAGAAAAGGAGCGTTGCAAAGTGGGAGCAAGGACGCTAAGAAAAGGAAGAAAGGAAGAAAAGGACGGTAATATTGTTTTGCTATTAGGAATGAACTGGTCCTTTGGACCCAGATGCAGTAGCGGCAGCCTTGCACATGTCCGGTGCAGAGAGAGGATGCCCAGGAGGCCCTGAGTTGCCAAGGCCGCGATGTGCCACCTTGCCGTCTCCAAGTCGAGCCGTGCCTTGAGTGTTTTATCCCGATCCTCTGAGGCAAGGTGTTATGTGGTGTCATGTTTGCTTTTGGAAGGAACTGAACATGTTGAATGGCTTGACAACTACGGGATAAGCAGGTGGTTTGCGACATGTTGTCTTCAGAGGTGCGGAGACGCTTTCGCCTACAGGTGCCTCAGAAGCCCTGATTGTTTCAAGATAGGCCCAATTTGTTGCCACGGGATCCAACATAACCTGCATGAGCCACTTATATAGTTCAAGCCATGCAGGATGCAGAGCAGCCATTGCTTCCAGCCATGGAGTCTCGCATGAACCGTCACACCTGCGGCTTGATCTGTGGGGGGATATGTGCCTTGTTGACAGGGAGCTTTGCTGTGTGTGCTGCTTTGGGCTTTCACTTCGCTGGGGTTGCTTTCCTGAAGCGTGATCAGCAGCTTCTGGTTCAGTATCCCACCGACAAGTACGTGGTGAACGGCCCGGGCATGGCCTTCTTTGTGCCGCTCGTAGCCAGTGCCCAGAGCCGCCGTGCCATGATCATTGAGGAGGAGAAGTACGTGGTGATCACTGATGAAATGACGGGGTCCATGAGGACGGTGGAAGGCGACTTTCAATTTGTGTCTATGGACAGAAGAATTGCTTTGTGCAAGAAATGATGTAGGTTTCACTGCCTTCTCAATGAACAGATCTTGAGATGTTTGTTTTTAGACACTTCCAGGCCCCCAACTTTTCTTCCTCGGTGCCTATGAGTCTGTGTCGCAGCCTCTACGCAAGATGGTCCTGCAGAAGAACTCCTACGTGAAGTTGATGGACAAGAAGACTGGTGAGCGCCGGGTGCTTCGCGGTCCTCAGGCCAGCTCTGGGGTTGGAAGAGGAACTGATTGATGGTTGATGAAGTTGTTTATCCAGGTGATATATTATATATGTGTTTTTTTTTTCCGGTTCTGTTAGGGGTTGTTCAACTGTTGATGTTCAGTAACAGTATCGATATCGACTCTACCCTTCAAATCGTTTCAAGGAATGTGCTTGAGTAATTTACTGTATGTGGGTTTTGAGGGTTTGGAGGACCAAGGACTTTGCTTAGAGAAGGGTTCCCGGCTTGATGTTTCCTAAGCCCCTGCAGATTGTCCAGGCACATCTTCACCAGGGGAGTTGGCCACTGAACCACTCCTTGGCCAATGATGTTCAACATTCCGGGTAGAGGTATTTGGGATCCTGGGGTAAGCACATCCCTCCAATTCATGTGACATCCGACATGGTCACAAAGACTCGCAAAGGAAGCACAACAAGGCAAGAAAACAAGAGTTAAAACAAAACAACATATGCAAAACAGAGGCGACAAGGACACAATAAAAATACAATATGCCTAAGATATCCTAAGATGCTGGTTGTTCTTATGTGTTTTCCATTTAATTTTTGTTTTGCTCTCTGTCATGCGTTTTATTGCTTCGATCGGATCCTTTGGACCCGGATGCAAGGTTGTGGTCCCCAGCCCAACCGAAGAGTTGATGGAACAGGGTCAAGGACCGGAAGCACAGGAAGTTGGAAGATTTTATTTTAGATCTTCCAAACATTTTGCTATTTTCTTTCGGACTTTTCAGGTGATTCCTGTTGACACAGGAAGTGCTGTGGTTTGGTACGGTATGGTCTATAGTGGCCATGACATCGTCCCCTGCGGCGTCGGACATGGGTTCAAGTCCCCAGGTGCAACACTAGGCGGAAGGAACCCAGGTCAGTGCTCAGCAGTCTGGTGACCCTGAAGGAGTGAGCAATTAAATTACCTAATAGCTTCTTGTTACTACTAGTAACAAGTGCCACGCTAGTAGTAACAAGTGCCTTACTAGTAGGAACAAAAAGCTATTAGAATTAAATCAAATTTAAATTAATAGCTTCTTGTTACTACTAGTAAGGCACTTGTTACTAGTAGCGATGCACTTGTTACTACCCTGAAGGAGTGAGTTTGCTGAAGGAGGATTTCATGCGTGTTAAGAACACGGTGACAGGAGAGGAGAGGAGAGGAGACTTGGGCGTGTGAAAGTAGATGTTCAGGAGGTCAAGGGCCAACCAATTAGATGTAATTAGATGGTACAATTACTGACAAGCATCAGCAATAAGTTTACGCGATCCCTACCGAAAGCTTTGGCTTGGACGGTCTATTGGGGTACGGGTACGGGTGTCTTTCTGCCAGCTCACAGCTCTTGGATCTATTTTGATGCACAGATTGTTTGCTTGTTTGCTTTTTGTTGGTCATTTTTATTTTGCCGAATTAAACTAACAAGCAGAGAAAGGCTGTGTTTTGAACTGCTCAGGATCATCGTCGGAGAGACGCTGTTCTTTCCCGAGCCAGATGACAAGATGGGTACGCCTCGCAAGGGATTTCAACTGCAGAAGGATGAATTTGTGAAGCTCCGGGACAAGGTGACTCAGGTCATCACAGTGGAAAAAGGAGAAAAGATCGTCTTTCCCACGTCGACCCAAGACGAAGGGACAGCTCAGATCGAAAAAGCGGTGTCATTAGAGGGATCAGTACGTGCTGCTCAGGGACAAGTCCGGGGAGTTGACGCGTTTCACCGGGCCAGGCTTGGTGTTCCCAGGACCTCAACAGAGCTTTGAAGGGCGTGAGAAGGAGGCCTTTAACCTGTTGAAGGGCCAGTTTGTGCGCTTGTTCGATGAGAAGGGCGGTGTACGTGTGCTCCAAGGTGAGCAGTTGGTCTTTCCTGAAGCCATGGAGTTTTCCATCAAAGGAGTCGAGCTGGTTACTCGTAGCGTCCATGCTCCTAGTAGTAAGGCCAGGAGCCCCTCGTAGCGTTCTTGCTCCTAGTAGCGATGCCCTTTGTTACTAGTAGCTTCTGGTTACTCCAAAGAATGGTTTTAATCTTTAATATCCCTAGGCCTAGGAGGGTTGTCCAAAGCATTCTCAAGATTATCGTGCTGGATAATATACACCCGATCCATCAATTATTCAAAAGCGATCATTTCGATGCTGATCCCCTATCCTCAAAGACAGTTCGATACCTCTCCATCTCCCAAGCTGTAGGAGTTGAGAAGGCCATACGCGTAGACGAGGAGACTGCGGTGATTGTAAGCTCCCGCAGGGCGGGCGCGGACCAATGGCGCCTGGTCACGGAGAAGGGGCCCTTCATCCCCAGCGAGGACGACGATGAGGCCAGCGGTCTCGGTTTGGGCGGCACCCGTGCGGACTGGCAATATGCTGTGGGTCAAAACCGGGAGTTGTGAGTTGACCACCGATCATGAACGGAATAGACTACCTGGGAGGTCGACCTACACCCTAGATCACATTTTGAGTGAATTGCATGTGACTTGGAAGCCTCAAGTTCTTGGGGAAATCAATGCTTTCTTGGAATATTCTGTAGCTCCTTCATCTCTAGGCTTACTAACGTAGTTCAAACTTTGCCACAAACTGGCCCTGCAGCTCGGGTATCCAAGAGGATGTTTTGCTGTAGCTCATAACGCTCATGTGAGCAGTGAGTACATGCGATGGTCGGGCTGCTTTCCAGCTCACTGAGCCGTGACATGATCGCCTGGAAATCTCGGTTTCGCCGAGGTCCTGGAGAGCAAGATCATCAAGGTGGACCCACATCATGTGTACCTGTGGCCTTGATATGCCTTCCCAAGGGGCCTCTCCGGTCCTTCCCTAGGGCTCATAGGCAGACACCTGGATAAGGCCATCCTTTCAAAGTCCTTTGTTGCTGGGATCTCGCGGGGCCAAATTCCCGCCAAAATTCGAGTATGTCGAGTGTTCCTCAGTGTTCAGCCACAGACCATGCTTGGTGGCATTTGGTGGTCCTGGAATTGTATGAGTACTGATGAATCACAAGGTCATCATGAGTGTTTTTGACGTCCTTCTTGATTCAGAGGAGGTCGTAGGCCAAATGACGACTTTCGAAGTAGTGGAACCGTGTTCACTGGGCGGTGTCACTTTCCTAGTGGTCGTGATACCACAATAGCTCTTGCGTTGCTCGGTTTTGGAACATACAATCCGACTCACTAACATGGAAGTGGAAAGCCCCCCCCGTTCGTACAGGAAAGTTGTCTTCCAAGGGACCACTTTCCACTTCCATGTCGCTGAGTCAGAGTGTATTTTTTGGAGGTGAGAGGCATTGGTGGAGTGTTTCATGGTGTTTCTATTTTCAAAGTGCATCACCCAGGTACATCGTGACCACGCGAGACGGCACGAAGAAGTTCATCAATGGTGGCAACAATGGCACCGCCTTCTTTCTGCAGCCCTACGAGCAGATCAACACCATGCGCTGGAGCTCCGGGACGTCTCAGAAGGACAGGGTTTCACGGAGCATGGCTGGGGTGTCCTCCAGGAGAGAAATCTCAACATTTTGCATAATTTAGCTATTTGCTCCTAGTAGCTTCTTTGTTCCTAGCCAGGACCCCCTAGTAGCGTCCTTGTTCCTAGTAGATTCGGAGATGGCGAATCCTGAGGTGTGGTGGTGCATGGTTTTCAACGGAAAGACACTTGCAGTATGCGCCATACGGGTTTGATAAGTTAACTTGCCGGTGCTGTAAAAAAGGAGGGTTCGAGTTCGATAGAAGATGATGTTCCTCTCTTTCTTGTGTTAGCCGTTAGCCAGTGAACAGCCATCACCAAATCCTGTTCATACTGGACCGCTTGCCACCATGTTTTTGACTGTGGGCATTTGGGTATCCTAAGAATGTTGTACAGCTGTGCACATGTCAGACTGATTTATATATACTGGTTTATATTATAGGCTAATGAGAGTGAGTTTAGTGGAAATTTGGCAGAGATCAGTAATCAGTTGCCTCATGTTGCCTCACAGTCCAGAGTTTAAGATGAGGCTGTACTTCAAGGTCAAAAAGCAATCTTAATGTCTTTGTTTTACCATTCTTTGATACAGCACGAAAGTACCACATCCTGAAAAAGCTCATTCGCCGCAGTCATCAAATCCTGCCCTTGCAACCCCGATGTACATGCACTGGCACTGCTTCGTACCAGAATGATGTAGCCCCCGGAGGATTTGGCAGAAGGCAAGATCAACAATGCTGCAAAGCCCACTTTCTTGGTAGAAGTGAGCTGTATTGATACCAGGTGGCAGGATGCTCAATTCATGTTTGCGGTTCAAACCTCAGACAATGTGAAGCTGAACCTGGAGGGCCACATTTTTTGGCAGATCCAGGATGTCCCCAAGATGTTTGCCAACACCAACGACCCCAAGGGGGACGTTTGGAAGAACACTCGACGGGTGCTGAATGAGGTCGTTTCCAAGGTGCGTTGGTCAGTCATTACATGCGAGCAAACTTTTTGGGATGGGTGCTTTATGACCCCAGCTTGCTATTTGTTCAAAATCCACTTTGGAAGGTGCCAAACCATTTTGTTCATTGGTATTTCCTCTTGGGAAGCCTCCCTCTTTCACCACATGGTGGTCCTTTTAATTTATATAAGCGAGATTCATTTGCCCACTTTGGAAGATGAAAGCTCCTTTCAAGGCAGGTCCCAAAAGTGAGATGTTATGTTGGGAAACAAACACGTCCCTGGATGTCCCTGGTGTTTTTTTTATTGTTTTCCCAGTTTCCTAAGCGAAGCACAGACAGAGCTCCCAAGTTATATATATATATAGAGGTCACTTTGGCCGAGTTCATGGAATCCTTCAACGATTTGGTGAAGAATGCCACCACTGCTGACGCTGAGTTCTATGGGCTCCGTGGCACACGGGTGCATCGTGTAGAGGTCACTGGATACACCTGTGCAGATAAGAGGACGGAGCAAACATTGCAGGAGGTGAACCAAGAGACCACCAACAAGATCAACCGGATCAGGAAGCAGGAGCCATGTTAGTCAGGTAGAAAAGAATCCTTAAAGATTTGCTTGGTTGCAGCTGGTTGAAAGAAAAACAAGAACCAGTGAAACAACACCTGACCTGTTCTGCCATTTTTGCCTTTGCATATGTTTACTTGGTGCTCAGGAGTCTGAGAACGAGGTTGAGCAAGCCAAGATGGAGGCGCTCATTCACTTAGAGCAGCAACGTTCCAAGCTGATTGAAGCACAGGCAGAGAATGAGCGCCGAAAGGCTTCCTTTGAGGGAGCTGCTAAGGGAGTTCAGCTCGCTGAGCAGGTGAAGTCCTTCATGTCGATGTTGAATGACTCATTGCCTGAGACCTCCGACCGCTTGTTGTTGCTGAAACTCTTCGAGCAGAACAAAGCCATGGTGGAAAACTCGGGAAAACTGGCTGGTGGCAATGCAACACTCTTCGTGACACCTGAAGACATGCAGGTTCGATTGCACTTGCCAACTCCCAAGCATGAATAGGTATAGCATGGCATAGCTACAGAGAGCTTGTTGAAGACCTGTGACATGGCCATGTGCCAGAGTCCACAGGTCTTGCATGCCTTTTGGCTGATCGCCAAAGGCACTAATCACCCTTGTGCTTGGCTGTTTTTATCAAGCACTAATCCACACTTGTTTTCCACGCTTGCCGCCTTTGCGTGGAGTGAGGGCGTACCGGCGTACCAAAGTTTCTGAAATTCGGCGGATTTGGTGCGAACATCAGCAGCATCCTCAATATAGCCATTCGCACAAGGATGTTCCTACAAGCCAAGTTCAGCAGAATCTCAATTTCCAACGTGCAAGTTTATGAGTCTATCCGTCAGAAGCGCAGGAAACATCCATTGCCAGCGTGCCAGATGGATGCTTAGACATATCTCTGCCAGTGGAAAAAAAAGCGAGCGGCCGAGCTCAAAGCGAGTGCAAAACAGGGATGGAACTACAACCAAGTACTATGTTGTAAGTGATACAAGCAACCTGACTGGAGAGCTGTCCGAAAGCTACCTGGAATTGGATGACCTGGAACCCTTTTCAGTTTCGTTTATTTCGCATGGCAACAAGCTGTGCGAACAGTTTATAAAGACGTGGACCAGGGGTCATGTTGAGCTAATTGAGTAAGCAACAAACGTGTTATTTGGTGCTGATCATTTGATGATTTTTGCAGGTCGTCCTAGCCTTTGTTCTGGCCGATCTTTTGGATCTTCAAAAGGACACACGTTAGAGTTTGGGTGTGCCCTTTTGCCTTTGGCAGTGTTTTCTTGCCAGTTGCTTGGTGTACTGGTAGACTGACCCTTTTCTTGCTTTTGTTGTGTCCATTGCATGATTTAGCATGGCATGCGGATATGCTTACGATGCTGGGCTTTCTGCCTTTCAGGTCATTTCGTGGCCATTCCTTTCCGCACCGCAGGATCCTTTGCTCTTGAAGTTTCTTTCAATGAGTGCAGAGCATGACATGCGCCTTGAAGTGGCTGCAGAGTACCTTTTGCAGCATCCGCAGGCGGACAAGCACTTGTTCAGGGTTGTATTATACTATTATACCATCTTGGCATTTGTCAGCAGTTCCACCCCCTTTATAGCGACTCATACTTTGCCAGTTGCGGCGGGGGAGCTGCTTCAGAGCAAAGTTTGTTTGACATGATCAGATAAATTTATGAGTTTATGAAGCAAAGGCAGATCGAAACCGCACAGGTTTCCACGAGTCTCAAACCGCCAACACCATGTCCGAAGTCTGGCCCATGTGGTCAGAGAAGGTCTTCTTGTCTAAATCAGGCAACAGGAAGATGCTTTCCATTTATGCTGCTCATTGTCCGCATCCAAGCAAACACACCTTACCAACCATTGCATCTATAAGCTCCAACGCCATTGTGGTTGCAAGTGGGGTGGGTGCAGCACTTGTTTTTTCGCAAAGTCGTTCTTCTCTAGTCCACAGCGCTTGCGCAGGGTCCAACTATGCAGATTCCACTGCTAGCAGCACGACACGGCTATCCAGTCCCTTTGGCATAGTTTTAATATGTTTTTATGCTTTGGCCCTGCAGATTTCTACAAAAATACATACAGATACATACAGTGTGTATAATATATATATATTTATGGTACACCCCCCAAAAAATAGAACTACCCTTCAGACACTTTCATGTTTGGGGATGATAATCTATCAGGCAATTGAAAGAAGAGTACCATATATATATACATATATTATATATATATATCTCTATTTCAGAAAAGGACGTTATACGGGTGTGTGTTTTCCACGTCTACGAAAAGCGCCACTTTAGACAAGTTTCCACACGAATCGAAGAGAATGCAAAGAACCTGATCTTCGGGGGGGGTCACTACTAGCGTGGCACTTGTTACTAGTAGCGTGGCACTTGTTACTAATTACTAGCGTGGCACCTGTTACTACTAGTAAGCCCAAAAAAAAATGGTTTGCTTTTTTGGTGGCTGTTTTTCCCCCAGATAGCGAAGCTATAGGGGTTCTTATTTCCCAAGGATGGGTTCCTGATTGCGGAAATTGGCTGCCTCTGCCGCCTTGTTTCCCAAGCTTGTCTCCCTTCATGATTTCGCTCTTGGCTGCCGCTGCTGCCTTTTGGCTGCCGCTGCCGCCTTGTCTGTTCAGCTTGTCTCCCTTCATGATTTCGCTCTTGGCTGCCGCTGCTGCCTTTTGGCTGCCGCTGCCGCCTTGTCTGTGAAGCTTGTCTCCCTTCATGATTTCGCTCTTGGCTGCCTCTGCCGCCTTGTCTCCCAAGCTTGTCTCCCTTCATGATTTCGCTCTTGGCTGCCGCTGCCGCCTTGTCTGTTCAGCTTGTCTCCCTTCATGATTTCGCTTTTGGCTGCCGCTGCTGCCTTTTGGCTGCCGCTGCCGCCTTGTCTGTGAAGCTTGTCTTCCTTCATGATTTCGCTCTTGGCTGCCTCTGCCGGCTTGTCTTCCAAGTTTGTCTCCCTTCATGATTTCGCTCTTGGCTGCCGCTGCCGCCTTGTCTGTGAAGCTTGTCTCCCTTTGTGATTTCGCTTTTGGCTGCCGCTGCCGCCTTGTCTCCCAAGGTTGTCTCCCTTCATGATTTCGCTCTTGGCTGCCTCTGCCGGCTTGTCTTCCAAGCTTGTCTCCCTTCATGATTTCGCTTTTGGCTGCCGCTGCCGCCTTGTCTCCCAAGCTTGTCTCCCTTCATGACTTTGCTTTTGGCTGCCGCTGCTGCCTTGTCTCCTAAGCTTGTCTCCCTTCATGATTTCACTTTTGGCTGGCGCTGCCGCCGCCGCCTTGTCTGTTCAGCTTGTCTCCCTTTATGATTTCGCTTTTGGCTGCCGCTGCCGCCTTGTCTGTGAAGCTTGTCTCCCTTCATTGATTTCGCTCTTGGCTGCCGCTGCCGCCTTGTCTGTGAAGCTTGCCTCCCTTCATGAATTCGCTTTTGGCTGCCGCTGCTGCCTTGTCTCCCAAGCTCGTCTCCCTTCATGATTTCGCTCTTGGCTGCCGCTGCCGCCTTGTCTCCCAAGCTTGTCTCCCTTCATGATTTCGTCTTGGTCATGCAAAAGTCAGCGCTGTTTCCTTTGCGATGCTTTGCATTCACAGTCGCCTTTCATAGGCGCTTGCGTGTTCGGCAGCGTTCTGTCCTTCAGGCTGCGCGCTTGGCATTTCCCGCGTTTAGCTGTCCAGCCATGGCGCCTCGCTTCAACCCCTACCCTGAGCCCAAGCATGGCAAAGGCCGTTCAGTTCTGGGGCGCCCTGCTTCCACCAAGGACAAGAATTGGCAGAACATCAAGTATGTTCGAACTCCTTGGTCTCATACTGGGCGGAGACATGACAGGAGCCTGTGGCAAATAACTTTGTGGGATCTTATGAACAAGAGCGATGCGGAATTGGTGACACTCCTCCAGCACACAATCTACTTCCAAAATGGGAAAAGATCTGCCCTAGATGCAACAAGGGCAAGCTTTCTTCTCTCCAGAACTTCGGAGGTTCAATGCCCCAGCACCGGTGCAACCGGAAAGGGTGCCAGGTCTATGTGAACCCGCATCACCTTCAGCCCCTCTTTGTGGATGGAACGGGCAGTAGTTGCTCCCCTTTGCAGAAGCAAGCTGCAACCTTGCTTCTTCTATTGCTCCGCGTGCCTCACACCGTTGCTCACCACCTCTTGGACTTCAACCGCAAAGCCCTTGCAGACATGAGCAAGAAGCTTCGAAATTTAAGAAGGAGATGAGTGGAAGCAAAGGAACGGAATATTACCTAGATGGCCGTGCCTGGGCAGACGTGGAGGCAGACGACAAGAAAGATTTGGGCGCTGCTGCTTCAGAGCCTGCCAACCCGATTGAATGGGAGCAGTGGTGTGGGCTGGCGCAGCGCGGCGTTCCTTCATCCCCAAGACGTCGGCAAAGCGAGCTCCAGGTCCTGGGGCCATTCGGAAGATCGAATGGGACCCTATGGCCAAAAAGCATTTGGGAGGCAGGCATATCATCTTGCACACCGATGCTGCCAAGTCCTACAAAGCCAAGGTCAAGGGCGTCCTTCACGAAAATGTTCGCCATTGCAAGAAGCGGATGAAAGTGAGAGGGAAATTCATATGGCAAGCTCCTATCTACGTTCGCATTGCAGTCCACAAGTGCCCAAAGACTGGCGAAAAATGCGAGTCAAGGCAGGGACGCAGGTCATTGACAGGGCGTGGAGGTTCCTCAAGGACCGCATCCATGCGCAGTCAAACTCAAAGGTCGGGTTTGCCACCCTTAAGGCCCAGATTAGGTCTGCCCAGTATGAGTACTGGCATATGGGCCAAGACCTTTGGAAGCTGACTGGCTCGGTGCGCCTGTGAGCTGGCAAAGTTTGTCTCAGCAGCCTGAACTCATGCTCCAGCGTCGGCCAAAAAAAGTCATTACCTTGCTTGCAGCATAGTGTGCCCTGCTGTCTTTGAAATGTTCTCTCAACAAAAAGCTCTAACATTCACTGGCAACAAATTTTGCAAATTCCAACGTCATTCTTTCAATGTCCATCCAGAAACAAGCACTCAAACATAGCAAGAAACATTCTGAAGACGGTTACATCTGCGCAACAATATGGTCAAAAATGTGCTGTTCAATTTGTGTTCTGAAATCTCACCAAATCATTGCAAATACCAGTGAAGTTGTCTAAAAGGTAGGTTTTGGGGGGGTGTAGCATGTTTATATAGTATATATATATATACACACAAAATTGAATTGCAGTTGCGGAATTCGTCTGGTCAGTTTTTAAAAGCTTTTGACCATGACAAGCCAGTGTGGTAGTGGAGCTGCACTTGATTTCAGATTTCTTAGTATGAGGCTGAAGGATTTCATACAACTATCCTATGTATACATATGTATATATTACTTTTTGAACAGTTATGTAAATGTTAGTCTGGCACATATATATTTATATATATGTATAGGCACAATAGTTTTTGTCTCATTGGGAAAAGAGAACGCTAGCCCAAGATATTGTTGGAGCTTGTTGTCCAATAAATTTTGTGTGGCATGGAGAGGTG